GAAGAAGATGGAAACGAGAAGTGGCAAATCAAACTTCAGCTTAGCAGATTTGATGACTGCAATACAAGAACAGCAAAAGAACAAAGAAAAACGAGAAAAGAAACAAGAAGAGAGATTACAGCAATTGTTGGAGGAAAACGAAAATAAACAAGGAAGATATATTAGCCATGGACTGAATCAACCCCGAACAAAGGGAAGCCTCTTCCAGACCCTGCTGCTAAACCCTAATGCAAACATATTCAGTCTTTTCAGAATTCACATTCCAGACATGAGTGTCAGCAACACGGGTGATCTAGTATGAAGGAAACCACAAGAATTCGATGGGAAGGCATCGTGGGTAGCATATAGCACACAATTTGAGATTCTGGCAGAAATGAATGGATGGACAGAAAAGCAGAAAGCAGTGTACGTGGTAACGAGCTTGAAGGGACAACCACTGAAAATACTTGGACAGTTGTCAGCAGACGACAGGCACAACTATAGAGCATTGGTAGCTGCTCTAGAACTCGGGTATGGAACTCAAAATCAGTCCGAAGTCTACAGGGCTAGGTTTAGGACTAGAATCCGTGCTAGAGGGGAGAGCCTGCAAGAGCTGCCACAGGATTTGGAAAGTATGGCACACAAGGAGTACCCAACTACACCACCTGATGTCCTCAAGCTGTTGCTGAGGGATCAGTTTGTAGACGTCTTGGGCAGTCCACAACTGAAGATACAAGTAAAGCAAGCACGCTACTCTACTATGTGGGATGCAATGGCCAGACCTCTTGAATTCGAATCCTACATTAAGTCCAGTGCAGGGGTACCAAGGTTGGTACAGTCATCAGGACTCAAGGCATGAAAAGGACAGCTTTCAGAGAAGTTTGAGGGTTGTAACAAACCAGGCACAAGAGAGCTCAATGCTGGCAACTTCAACACAGGGAAAATGCTATGGCAGAATAGACTGCTACCCAGAAAGGTTGTTGGAACTGTGGAGAGCAAGGACATATGAAGAGCTAGTGTAAGAAGAATACCACCAATAAGTCAGTTTCGGAAAACCAGTAATGGTTGGTATTGAGGCACGCCCACCAACCCCATTGTGAAAGTCCCAACAGCTAAGTGTAAAATGGCAAGCACACATACTGTATTCGTGACAGGAAAGCTGGATGGCCAAAAGTGCAAATTTGTCAT